AAAGTTGTAGTGGATGGTGCATGGTACTCCATAAGAGCACTTCCATATAGGCCCTATCCAGCACTGGATGGGAAATGAGTATTTTGTGAGAAACCGATGAGTATTTTTTATGTGATTGTTTATTATATGACCATTTATATTTTAGCACAAAAAGGGCTACCAATAAGTATGTATTTGAAGAAAAATACATCATAAGTTACCAATAAGTAAATTTTTTTATTATATATTATAAGACAATTTATATTTGGCACAAGAAAATCGTAATTAATGTTAAAATTGAAAAATGTGAAATTCAACAGCTTTGAAAGCTCATGGAGATGATTTGGGACTTTAAGTCTAGGCAAAAGCACATCTCCAACCTCTAAATTTTACATATAACGGTTGAAGGTGCTTATACCTCGGAAAAAAAAAATACTTATCTTTGTACATACTTTCTCCATGTTTGTTTATCCAGCCAGAGTTCAAAATATTAAATTTGGGAATTAGAAACGTTGGCTATGGAGTTAAAAAAGCTGCATTTTTGTACCCGGATTGTACACAATGAGACCATTTTCCTTCATAAAGACGTCTCAATTACTTATAACCATCCAATATGACACGTGATAGTTTGAGTGTGTCACAAAGTTTTAAAAAAATTATTTTAAACTTTAAGCTTAACCAATGAAATAAATGTAGCTACCTAATTTCACATCCAACGGTCAAAATTAATTGTGACAACTTCATACCAAAAATAAATAGTTTCATTATATACTTTTTCCTCATGTACGAAGGACTAGGACCATTTTGCGGAGAATCTATTGCTTATATATATCTCTCTCGTTTATTTAAGAGAGAGAAAATGGAGTGGTCCTCCAAGGATTCTCTATAATTTTGAAATAATTGATGGAGATCCCTTTTGAGGTTGGACCTTTCATCATTGCGGGGAAGAACCAAAATTATGTCATGTTACTTTTTCTTTTTACATGAATAATCCAAAGTTTGGGATCCATTTGTGAAATGGTGGTGGAGCCCACGATAGTGGCATTCAACATATCCTTAATCCTTCCCTTCCAATTCAATGCACCATCAAAACGCATCTTTCTCCATCTAAACATATTTCCTAAGACAAGTCCCAATGGCAATGTAGTGATCCATGATTTGGTGAGCCTGCCCCCTGCAAAGTTACACACCATTAGGGTACCTTTGGTTCTGATGAAAATAATCATACTTAAATCGGTCGAGTTGTCGACTTGGTGGAGTTAGTCGGATTCGGGTCCTTGTTGTGTTCCGAATTGGAGGTCCAATTTGGGGATCTTAAAAATAAATTAAAATAAATGAAAAATTTTTCAAAAAAATAAGTAATATATTTGTAACATATTTTTTATTTTGGTTTTTGGAGGCTCGACTCGGATATCTTAAAAACAAATTAAAATAAATGTAAATTTTTTTAAAAAAATAAGTGATATATTTTAGCATATTTTTTATGTTGGTTTTCTATCATATTGGTAAAGATTGGGAAGTATTTTGATCATGAATACTTGTTTTTATATTTTTTACATTTTTTTTAAAAAAATTCCAAAATACCCCCAATCACAAACTCATTTTATAAAATATATATTTTATATTTTTTTTGCTACCTTTTAACCCCAATTAGTTGCATTTTGTTCAATTTTACTTTGAATATAATTTTTTTTTTTGTTAGATTTTTTTACATTTTTAATAGTTTTCAGCTGCTATAGTACTCTGCCTTAGGGCTAGGATTCGGCGAGTACTTGGCTGGGGAATGGATTGAGTAGTCTGCCCCAGTCGACTTTTCAAACACTGGTCATATGTAACAGTTTTCATATGAAAGTTGGCCTCAAAGAGAGAGAGAGGCATTTTAAAAGTAAATATTGGGGTTATTTTAGAGAGAGAAAGGAGGAAAAGAACAATTTGAAAGCTTTTTCGTCTTGTATTATAATTATTGTTTTAATTTTTGGTTTTCTGATGTGTTTTGAGGAAGAGGAGTGGTCTAGAAGGAATGTCTCTTTTATTGATGATGAAGCCAAATCCGAAGCAGACGTTGAAACCAAAGTTTTTCGGTTTGATTTCTTTCTATAACTGTGAATCTATTACAGTATTAGATCCAAGCATTGGATGTGATGCTTTGTTTTTTAGTTGTTTTTGGGAGACTTTTGGGTTTTCCGGTTGGGGTTTTTGAGGATTTCATGCAGTGGGCTTCTTTGATTGCTTCCATGGCTGGTGTCTGGTTTTAGAGGTTGTTTTTTTTGTATCCAACTAAACCCAAATGACGGATATTGGGTTTGTTGGGAACTTTCTTACGTTGGGCATTGAATTTGGTGGGGTTGGAGAGCTTCATGTACTCCAATTCTTTGACCATTAGAGATCCAATGGTGTCTATTGTTCCCATTCTAAGAATGCTACTTTTTTCATCATCATCAAAAGTTTTTTTTTCAAATATTTAAGACTACACGAATCCCGGTCCATCGGCTCTATCAACGGTCATACTCTCAGAGAAGCCATAAATTCCCGTATATTTTATCAACCACATCCTTTTGAGCTTACCCCTAGTATTTTATTTAGCCTTCCGCTAAAAATAACTCGTACCTCCGAATTGGTGATATATTGAATATGTGATGTGCTGTAAATTCAGGATTCATGAGAAGTTTTAGCAAAATTTTACACCGGCTGCGTACCTATCAAAGACTTTAATATTATGAACGATGATGCTAAATTCTAAAAAACTTGTTGATAAATATCTATTTTAGACTTTCCTCTGACATATTCTTGATGATCCCTTCTCAAAATTGCACCAAAAGTGTACTATTACCAAATGTGCCTAGATGGAATTTTTGGCTTGTTGAATAATGATATTTATTGAAGTAAATTGGCATCGTCTGTAAATTACACTACAATGGAATCAGAATATGTATGCAATGATTGATTAATGATAAGTAGTGAAATGGTGAAGCAGCTGCAATATTCACAAATCGAGGCTTCAAATTCTCTCTGAGTTACAGAAAAATGTCGAGAGTTTTTTCAAATGAAAAGAGTAACAGTGAGAGACTCTTACAAATGGCAATAAGACCATAAGAGTGTAAGCAAATGGAGAAGTAAAAGTGAGTGAGAGACGGACAAATGACAATAAGACTGTAGGGAAATGAGCAAGGAAATAAATAGAGATAGAAGCTCAAATTCGTTAAATATTTTTTTGTTTGTTTGAGAGGGAGATTGAAGCTCCATTTTTTTTAAAATATATTCTATATTTGTGGAATATTGTTTTCCATAACTTTCAACCACCACATGAAAACACCATGAAATGTATGAAAACGCCAAGTTTAAATGTCTAAATCTATGACTACAACAAGCATAGATTAAGGAAATATACTAAAACTAGCATAGAGTCAAAAAGTTTAATTATTGGGCGGTTGAATGTTAGTAATATCGGACAACCCAATAATTTTTTTTATTCATCTTGATAGTTTAAAAAGTTCATGGTTGCAAACACCATACAGAATATTAAACTAGTCTGTTGTTTTCAATATGGAACTGCCCAAAAGATGGGCCCATCCACCGATGCCCTGAATATTAGGGAAAAAAATATGGCAACATCAAAGCAATAGCAAAACTAAAAAAAAAAAAATTAAGAAAAAAGAGAAAAAGAAAGGCCTCATCATAAGATTTAGAAAATTATGGACGAAGGATAATTCCATAAATTTATCATGATCTGTACATAAATTTCCCTCGACATATACCTAAGTCAGTAAGTTCCTCATCTTGCATGGTTATTAAGATTGGATCGCCGGACCGATTGGTCGGATAGCTAACCACTAGTGGTTCCTCGGATGGTCAGGTCCAAAGCAAAACCATGTTCGGTTTAAAATACGTCAAAACTAATATTTGATTGATATTGTCTGGTTTGATCAACAAATGCTTTAAGAACATTCACTTTTGGTAGAAAAGAGATCACAATCATTCTTAGCAAATCCGACAAATTGAAATGTGTCACAACATTAAAAAAAATCTAATTTGGACCTTAATGCCTAGGCCAATGATACATTTCCAACCACATGATTTCGCATCTAATGGTGAATAATTATGGTGACCTCCTCATAACAAAAGTATACATTTCCTTATTTGAAACCCAACAACCTTAACTTACCCAAAAAACAAAGAAACCCAACAGCCTTTAACCCCGCCAAAAAGCTCATATCCAGAGTCCAGGCATTGGAAAATAGTGAGACCCCCGAGTTAATGACATTATCCCCAATCACATGATTTCACATCCAACAATTTCTAATGACTGTGACCTACTTACACCAAAAGTAAATGGTCTCAGTGTATGAAAAGTGTTGAGCTCGAGCAATGCTGCCTCTGGTTTTTGAATATATAGCATGAGTAATTGGCATATAAAGACTTGAAAAGTGTTGGAACATGTCAGTTTTACACTAACGTCCGATAAAAAATGCCAATTATGGGGTTGAAGTCATTTTTTTCACTTTTTTAACCATGTTGATCGAAGCAAAAATGGCAGATTTGCAAAGTTTCAAGCATCTAGCTTTTTAGCAGGATATGAGCAGGTTTGTATATGGGGACGACTTTTTTTTAAAAAATGTTAACTTGGGACCTCTGTAGAATTGAAGTTCTAAACTTCATGTTGTGGCACCGTTCCACTCTGACCGCCCGAGCCTAAGGTCATTCCCTCGGCTTTATTGGATACTTTTTGTAAGGTAATTAGTCATAGTTCATAATTCATCAGGAATAGGTAATTTTGGTTAAATTACCTATTCCTGATAAAATACTGAGACTCCATTGCTAGTAATCGAGTCCACGATGAGATGAATCAGAAATAAACAAAGCAAAATGGTGTCCCATTTTCTTATGAGAAGGATTTTTCACCAAAAATCACAGTAATCTGTAAACTATAATGAGGCTGAGATATTCTCATCCCAAAAAGTAATTAAAAAAAAAAGAGTAATACTAAAGATGAGATATCTTTCAAGGAATCAAATCAATTCCTTTTTTATTTTTCATTTGAAGCCACAACATGAAGATGCCAATCGCATCTTAAATCAACAACTAACAAACAAATTTTCTTCTTTTTACTCTCACAAGTTAAAAAATTGAGAGAAAACAACATTCAAAAAAAAAGAAAAAAAGTGAGACTTTTCTTTTTTGGTAGTTCAGCAGTAGTAGGAACTGAATTTGAGATATAGCATTGCTTGACGTCAATTGCTAACCACTCAAGCCCACGCCCAATTCGACTTATCAGCTAAACAATCTCAACCTCATTCATTAGCCGTACATGATGCTGCTGCCTGCAATACTTGTGAACGAACATCTTCGAAGCTCCTTCCATGGTTCTACGCCAAGTCTGAAACAACCGAAACAAATATATTATATCATTTACTGCAATGATATTTACGTGTGGACCCATGTTTCTAAAAATGTAGCTTTTTTTTCCCTAAAAATGATTCATTCCTCTGGAGAGGTAAGAATGAAAACCATTAAAAGGGGAAATATGAGGAATGAGAAATTTGACATCAAAAGAATACGATGTAATGGAGGGTTTGGATCCTGAAGTGCAAATTGGGTGAGTTCGAGTCAGAAGCTTTTCAGATGAAAAAAAATATAAATATGCCGAAAAAAGAGACTCAGGTGATTTTCAGCCCGTGTTTATCCAATTTGGTCCAGCCAATCTGAACAATGATACCATTGAGTTTTTTACTGCAGTGTTATTTCTTCGCTATAATTGAGCAGCAGGTCACCCATGACAATAATCAGCTAAAATTTTGTAACATTCTCAATCACATGACCACCCAATATTTTTCTTCCATCTTCCTTTACTAAAAGCAAAATATACAGGTATATCATAAATTCATAACCCAAATGAACATGGTAACAGTAGCCTCATATAAATTCACTGGTAATTCACCGTCCAATCAATGGTGGAGGCAGATAAGCACTGCAACTAGAATAATATGTGCACTGTACAGAAACACCAGGGGATTCCCCTGGCTGAGGCGAGTTACTTGGCTGGGCTGACTTGGTTGAGCTCGGCAGAGGGCCAAAAGGCCATAAAAAAAAAACTTAGAAAATAAAAGACATGTTTCAAAAGTATATTCAAACTTTCAAACCTAAAACACCTTTAAAAGCTTAAAACAAGGTTAAAAAAATAGAGAGAATATGGATTTAAAAAACACAATCTACAATGGGATATTTTAAAAAAATCTAAAAAATATATAAAAGTATGACTATGGCAAAAACCACTCATCAATCTTTGCCAAATATATTTAAATCATGTAAGAAAATTTGTATAATATAATTTCATTATTTATAATCTTTATTTTTTAAAAATGCCCTGAGGTGTCACACGACTCAAAGGTACTCGGCCTCACCCACAGGCAAGACCCACTAACCTGGTCGAGTCCGAGTGGACTTATGCGACCATATAAGTTATACAATCCCAAGAAAAACGTCCCGATTCTTATCAGTTTCAAGAAAGAAAGATCATGCTAGTCCCACCAAGTCAAAATAATATCAGGAATTCCCACTAGTCAGGAGCGGGAAGTGAAAAAGAAAAATAGCATTTCTTCTCCACTTTCAAATCAGGAAAGCTGGGGTCTATTATCAAATCCACAGCGAAAATTCTTTGGAGAAGCCGCATTTTTATTTGGATTCATATCGAACCCAATCAATAAACCAAGAACAAAAACCCCAAAAGCACATCATTAAAGGTAATTCATGCAAATCAGCGTTTAAATACTAGTCTAAGTGGACTCCAACTTGACTGAATAACTCGGCCTCTGCACCCTGAGAGGCAAATTCTTGAGACAAACAGGGATTTGTTAAAATTACTTAATAAATAAAAAATGTGTGTTACTAAATCACTAATAGATAAATATGTTCCTATATAAATTTTATATTTTATATAATGTTTTGTGAATCTTTCTTATTGTGCTCTAATTTTCTGTTTTTCCTTTTTTTTGGATTTTCCTAAATTGTTTGAAGCCATGAATCATATGTTCCATTATCCATCTTTTATATACGTTTTTCCATTAGACTTTAAAGATGTCCGCAACTTTTTCTGCTTTTCACTGATTCTTACTTTAAAAGAATAGTAGTAAGAAGAAATAGAACAAGTCTATAATGGACTCTATAAAATAAAAATTGGGGAGTTACAGAAAATGGAATCCATAATCAAACAAAACAAACCAAGAATGAGCCATTGATTCTCACCTTTTCAAAAGCAGCTACAAGAAACCAGTCGTGATCAGAGCGAACAAGCCTCAAATGAGAGAAGAGATTGGTCTTCCTCTTGCTTCCTGGGATCAACAGAGAACTCAATTCCACCACTCCCCCGTTCTTCATCTCCATCCTCAACTCTCTGCCTCTTTTACGACTACAGGGCTTACGCTGAATAATCTTTCCGGCAGACAGAAAGCCGGAATCTGACCCCATATCTGCAAATTTGTTCAGGAGCTTATCAGAGGATGCCTTGCTCACGTGCTGCACTCTCTGATCCGCCATGAGAGAAAGAGAGAGAGAACGAGAGAGAGATGACACTTCCAGAATCGGAGTTGATTCTGAGAGAGAGAGCAATGCCCTGAGTTTGCGCGAGGTTGTTAAGCAGAATCCCTAATACGGATTTGCAGATAAGAGAGAGAGAGTAAAATCCCGAAGTTCCGGTTTTAGAGAGATAGATTGTTAAGCCCCACGTTTGGGATTTAGAGGAGGATTCGGGATTCTTTGTAGATGCTGGTGGAGCAAGGAATTGCAGGTGACCGTTGGGTTTTTGGAAAAAACAAAGCCAATGGACGGTTGTGATTAAGGGAGCGTGTCCTTTTACCGGCTTGGATTGCGAGAGAGAGAACGTGCAATATATCCGTTGGGGAAAAGAAGGGAGCGGCGATGGCATCCGCGTAGCGTTGGCAATGGACCGGACCCGACCCATTCCCGCCAAGTTTATCCGAGAATGGTCCAAGTATGGGTTTAAGATTTGGATCCACGGGTAGGGTTCGGGTCCAATGAGCGACACTTGGATAGTCCCGAGTCTGGGTATGAGTCATGCTATACTGACGGGTACCCAGATTTGAATTTTTAGTTTACCCAAAAGCAAAAGCCCCAACCTTAAAATAATTTCAATACTTTTCGTCTTCCCTGATCCCCCGAATAGCCAAACCCCATCACCATCCTCCCCCTCTTTGTTTCTTAGAGACATTGCTCTCTCTGAAGATCTCAAATGTATCTCTCTCTAATCGCCCACCCCTTCACATATCAATTTTTTTTTGCTATTCACCATTGTAGGCTACAAAAAAAATGAAGCTCATAACATCCCTACTTTCCACAAATGCAATAATCATTGGAAGATGTTTTTAGTAAAACATTGCAGTCTTAATTTTACAAATAAATATAGAGTGAGATCATTAATCTTGGATACAAAAAGGTCACAATTACTTATAATCATTCAATGTGAAATCTTATGATTCAGATGTGTCATAAAGTTCGAGAAATTTTATTTTGAACTTTGAGCTTGGTTAATGGAATAAATGCAATCACCCAATTTTACATCCAATGGTCAAGATTAATTGTGTCCACCTGGTACCAAAGGTAAATAGTCTCATTATATACCTTTCTATAAATATATTGCTTTATATAAAGTGCACCCTTTTCCTCGCTCACACTCGCCACTGGATCAACCGGGTTTTAAGGGGAACCGACCGATTCCCCACCCATTGGGAGAACCGGACGAGCCCCAGATTCTCGATCCGGTTCAACGGTTTTTTAAACTCTAGTTCTATGTAAGTGACAACCGTTGTAAAGCCAAAAAAAATGCTGTTTTACCAAGATGAGACCAAAATATGAAGTTAGAAAATGAAATTAAGGGCAAAATGAGAAGTCACAATCTCAAAAAGTTTATCTCTTTTTATTTTTTTGTGTGAAATGGTGTGTTTCCTTGTCTCCTTCATTTTTATTGTAAAGGCCGTTATATATAATATAGGGAAAAGTTTATATAAGGTTGAATGCATATGCACCTTAAAAATCTATCATAAAGCTTTTTAATGTGGAAAAACTCACTATTTGATCATCTGGACATCAAGACGTATGAATACAAAAAAAAAAGTTTTTGAGTATCAGAAATAGTGCATCTTGTAACATATTATCTAGGTCGTCCATTTTCAAGATTTTCATATGTTTATGGATCTCCTTGATTTTAACTATTTTTAGAGTTTAAAATTTTATAATTGGATATAAAAATAGATTTTAAGATAATCCTAAAAAAGTTTTACAGCAAAATTACATGTTATGATAAAATTTTGGAGGTGCGCTTTAATTGGATTGTTTATGGTTGCAACCTTATAGAAGCCGCACCCTATAATATATACACACACAAAACCACATAACATTTTTCTACAATAAAAATTGGAAACCCTTTTTCATTGTCATTTAAGCCATTGCATATATCGCTCAGTACAATCCGTTGTTTTATTTACAGAATCTTTCTACCTATATCGTTACCTAGGTATATTGTTACGGGAACAGACTGTTACATTATTTAAAATATAAAGGCGCCGTTGTAGTCTTTACCGCTAAGAAATGAATATTCCCAAATTGGGTGTGGTTTGTATAATAAGGATCCAAACAATCAAGGAGCACTTTCAACTAGCATGGAAAGATGTTTCATAATGGAAAACCTTTGTGATATCTGAAAAATTATTTTGTTCTCTATTTATTAAATTTAAAGCTTAAAAATAGTATAGATCGATCAGATCTATATATGTTTTAAAATTTTGAAAATCAACGATCTAAAAAATGTGTTACAAGATGTATTATTTTAAATATTTGAAAATTAATGGACACGGTTAGCATGCAGCGAAGCATGCACATGTAGAAATACAGGCTTGGCAATAGATATATTATTTAAATAAAATTTGATCCTAAGTTTTAGAGAATATATAATCTTTAACATGACGATCATGAATATAAAAAATAATAATTATATTACAAAAATATTTAGACAGTTATTTATAATTGGTTTTAGATGGACCACCTATTTGCATTCACTTTTAAGATGGATATTTTAATATTTATGGATTGTGGATGGATGCTTTAAACCTCTAGCCCGCAGTTTTAGACCGCATATTGTAGAAATGCGGTCCAACCCACATGAAACAATTGTTCTTAACATTTTTTTTTTAAAGAACGCGGTTAGCATGCAGCCTGGATAATGTAGCCTCGATAATGTAGAAATGCATGTTTGGCAATAAATATTTTTTTTAAGTATAATTTGATCTTAATTTTTGGATAATATATAATATAGATCATGAACATCAAAACATAAAAATAATTTAAAAATTAAAATAATAATTATATTAAAAAACATTTGGGCCTTTAGTTACTATTATTTTTAGATGGAGGACCTATTTGCATCCCTCTTTAAGATCAAGATCGATGGTTTATACTTCTGGACCGCATATTGTAGAAATGCAGTTCAGGTCGCATAAAACAGTTACTTTCGAAACTTAGGACCTGTTCACCTCGTAATTTGCAGGTGATCAGGGAAAGGGCTACTTCCATGGCGGAGAAACCAGATACTCAGCTTTTTCACCTCCTCACTCATCTCCTGCAACAGGTTCCCTCTCTCTCTTCCCCCATTTCATCCAATTTCATAATCCCAGTATCGCTAAGTCGTTAATTGCTTGCAACCTTAAGCTCGGTCGTTTTAACTTCACGAATATTCGATTTGGATGGATTGAATTGTTATTCGTCATTCGATTTGTATGGTTGAATTGTTATTCGTCATCATTTCTAGGATGTTGGAATCAATTGGAGAATCGGGTTTTATGTAATTCTTAAATTTGAATATGCGATATCGCGAAACAGTAGAATTGATTATTGAATTGAGTGTTTTCATCATTGAAATCCTAATTTTCATGCTATAATATTATTTTTCTAATGGCTAATGGCTGAGGCTCTAAGTAGGGAACGTGCAATTCTCTAACACAGTGACATGGGTTCACAGGAGGAATAGAGAGGGAGGAGTACAATCAGCTAAAGGTTTTGGAAAGATTGCCCAGAACTCTCTGCTATAATACTAAGATAAAACGTAAAATGTTGACTGAAATTTGTGGATGATGGATTTCGTGGAATTGCCAATGTCGAGTTTTAAAGAATTTTCTCCTTGAAATGGCAGATTTAAGTTGGAATTCGAAATGATCTCTATTTTTTTTATCTGTAGTATGGCTTGTCTTCCTTATCTGGCCAAATCTTTTGATGGGTCTTCTTACCATGCTTGTGCATATATTTTTGAAACTTTTTTTTTCCATATCAAGAAAAGGACTCTCATTAATGAGATCCTTATTGATGAAAAAAAGTAGCTTCCAGTAATTTTTGATGAATTGCTGTGATACCGCTGGGGTAGAGAGAGAGAGAGAGAGAGAGAGAGAGAGTGTGGTGGTGTATTAAA